AAATCCCAATTTGTCGTTCTCAGAAGAGACGATCGTTTTTCCCAATCTACGTTCGTATTATGACCGATTTGCACCTCCATAGCCAGAGGTTTGCTTACGAGAACAGCACTGTCAATGCGAAACTGTAATTTACCACAGTATAAACATAATATAAAAATAGAGACAGCACGCTTACAGTGGTTTTACAAACGTTGTGAGCAAATATTAGGTCCAATATACTGTCATTTTTCACTGGTTTTTGCATGGCTTTGGTCTTTCTCAGTAGCTGGATTTCTGCGATGACAATCATAAGCCTAGCTAGTTCAGACCAAATTTCTTGCATGACATGGCCATAATAAAACCCTTAAGTTATATGAGTTAAAGTTAACTCAGAAGCTTATTCAAAAGCAAAATAGAGATGAGTTAAAGACTGCTTTTCATAGTGCGGAGGGATATTGACACGAACTACTAGAATATGGTTAGCTTTCAAATCCAGAGAAGTCCAACCTGATTCATTAACATTTCTTAGCTGCGGGTTTGAAATTTTATGCTTGAGTAGTTATTCACAAGTATAAATAGTGAACCTCAGCAGTTGCCCGCATGGCGGCTACTCATGAGGGTGGTGTAGCTCTCAATCTAATGATATGAATGATGTGTATAGGAGGAGAACAATGTTTCCTATTACATATGAAGGTGAGTGAGCAAAATGATGGCAAAATATGTATATCATATTAGTCGGCGAGCGTGCATTAACAAGAAGGATTACGATACTGCCCCACTAAGGAAGCATACTTATTATTTTTGACTAGTAGGGGGTTCTTGGGATTATTATAAAGATCCGTCCGAGTTAGACTCAGGCAGACAGCCATCGAACATCCCGGAAAGCGCTAGACGGCGGCTCCATCCTATTGGGACTCGTTAGTAGTGCGCGCCCGCCGAATCCTACCTGTTTCGGAGCCACGACCTTACACTTGATAGCCATTGAAGCATGCCGCTGAGCATTGAGCGAAAACAGCGCACCGCCATGACTGATATCTAAGTGCGATATAGCACGGCTCATCCTCCACTGTCATACATGTCATGAACATGTAGAGGACAGAGCTGACCTCAAGAGCAACGAGTTCCTTTGTAATATTTCCGGGAAAATATGGGTACGACTGCAGTAGTATTTGTCCATTTTACCATGATGATAAGTTTGAGGCACAGTGAACTCATCATACCTGTGTACTGGGCTAGGTTGAGAAACTGTCAGATAACTCGATGCCTCCCTGGGTGTGTCCGACTAGGACGTAAGGGCAACAGAAGCCAATTCCAAAAGTGTCCTAAATATTCGCAGGTAGAACTGTTGCACTGGTTTACACTCGTAGGTTGTGCATGGACTCCATGGAGTGGTTAGGGTCTGAGAGTCTTCCAGTTGTCGACAAGACGTTGAGCACTTCTTTGGTGTCCTAAAGGCAATTTCTCTGAATGTGGATGGCTGTCGCAGTTGTCGGCACTGCGAATACAGCGTCTTAACGTCAGACGCCTCTGATAGGTTCAGGAGCACAATATCAATGCATTCATGAAAGACGGATTAAACGTTTTTACAAGACTAGCCGCCCTTTCATTGACAGGTGATGCTACACTGTGTTAATAATATTCTCCATTTCGTAGGACGAATGCATATTTAGAGCTACGACTTTCCAAGCCAATTAATCGAGGAATAAGTGTTTTTTACTTTTGTGTTGTTTCGATACTGTTTGGCGATTTAGTAAGGTTATTTATGTCTAAGTAAGAAATTCCGGTCCTAGTCGGTGTTGTGATTAGGTCGATTGTCTCTGTGATATGTCTAAGTGCATTTCCATTTAGGTTATGTCCGTATATGGGACAACAATGTTAAAGACAACCTCTGCTATGCGGTAGCTAGCAGATTCGACGGAGGCGTCAAGATCAACATCAGGGGAATGATGTCACTTGAAACTTGTGTCGTTAAAGGTGGTTTTCTGGATACTAAGGCTGATTAAACTAGTGAGACATCGCAATAAGCTCACATTTCTCTAGTGGTATTCGATCCGCTGTAAGCACAGCGCTTTTAAACTTAAATGTAGAACAATTTTTAACCACCTGTCCAAGCGACCTCCTCTGTGGTGAATTTTAGGATTACCGGACAACGGTGTTTTTGTAACTGTTTACGAAGGCGCATGGCAATGCATTCTCCATCGCTGATGGTAGCAAATACTGAAAGCATACGCTCTATCTTCTCGATTGGGGACCTATCAGGTCTACTATAGGTTGCGAAATTTCTAGAACGACCAGCCCGTTCAAGTGCTTCAGACGCTATGGTGAGTATACAATTTCTGGACTTTCCAAAATGTTCATTACATTTGTTTCTCAGCGGTTCCAGACTGCAAATATTTAAACTCGGTCTATATGAATTGCTTTTTCATACATTTCCGTAACACCATCTGTAATTTTTATTTCTTAAGCTTTTGTCGTGTTTTTATTCTTGGTTCGGAAGTAGTATTTACTTCAGTTCTCTTTCTCATAAGAGTTGCCTTACAGAGACAGGTGCCTTGGGAGTGATTTTAGACGCATCAGTCAGCGCAAAACGAGTAGTCTTCGTATCGGGTTTATAACCAACACGGTAGGAACTGACGGGGTTGAAAAGTGTCTGTGTAAGACACGAACTATGATATCCGAGACACCGAAATTCCTATCCCAAAGACATTGAGTACAAGGACTATAGGAGGTTCAGCAAATAATATGTGTTGAACATACATAAATCTCGTGATAAAAAGAAACCGTTGTGTGTTTTAGCGCCTAGGCTGATCGCGAGGTCAATTCTATGAGCCACGCCTTCCGCTACACACACGTACAGACGCCAAATGCGTCCAGGTGCATCAGTTGTACTGGCTAGTGGCCAGTTAACAATCACACGTTTGTGTGAGGGACTGGCGAATGACAGGGTACACTGCGTTAGCTTGAGAGAGATTGTCTGACCTTGAGAGAAGTTGCGTGCTAATCGCTCACTTGTGCACTCGTGGATTTTTAACTGTGGTTCAGCGACATTTTGTCGCACACCTTTGGATCAATACTCATTCGTCGTGCTTTTACAAGCTCTACTTTGTGATACCAGTTTCCCGAGTATACCCCAGTGCATCCTACATTTACCCTTATTTCTAACTTCCGGGCGGTGTTTCCTCGATATCCAAGCGGCAAAAGTTGTCTTACTCCAATCATCCGAGACATTGTTTGGTCTCACTCGATAGATCATTTCAACAGCTTTCGAACGAACTGTCACTCGTTCAAATCCAACACTGCTCAGTGCAGCTACAGGTCCAAAAGCAAATTCACCCGGCGCGATAGGCTAAACCACGGAAATTCTCAATCACACCTTCGTGTATTCTGCCCCACGTTCAAGCTGTCACATTCAACTGGCACGCCAGAGAGGACAGTATAAAAGTACACAACTGCAACGTGACCACTGTGACCTTACCGACAACGTCAATAACAGAACGACCTTTTATCATAGAAGGTGAGTCAATCAAATGGTTCGTAACATTTGCTCAACAAGCGTGATGCCTGGCGTGCCACGGACTAAAGACCTATGTGGATCATGTACCAAACTTGTTAAGGGGGGCATTTTGTGCCGTAACTGTTGCAAGTTCTTCCATGCGAGATGCCTCAGAGTTCAACCTAGCCAGGCCAAGTTATTAAACAAACCAGACTCGCTATGGTTCTGTGTGGAATGCACATCAATCCCACTGATAAAAAGCGTGCTCCTATTATCTCAGAAGTATGACCAGCTACTAGCGAAGTTTGAGGAAATGGTGACCACCAAAATCACTGGGGTTGGAGTAAGCATAGCAGACTGTGCAACCCAATCCTCTCCCGTAAGTGCTTCTCCTAACCCGCGAAGAGTTGTTAATAACACCGTAAGCAACACGACACCTAGAGTCCAGAACATCAACAGCTGTCCCAATACCACATGTAGCTCACGTTTGACTAAAGCGGTTCCCAGTTCGATGGGAGTAACTACACGTAAGGCTACTTCCAAACTCCCGATTGAGTGCGTAGCAAAAGAGCAAGCCGTTACGAGCGAAAGTTGGGTTACGGTTGCCTCCAAGAAGAGCCGTCAAATAAAAGTAACATCACCCTCAACTGGATCGGAAACTGAGGAGCGTAGCGGAGTTTTCCTAATGCAAGCAACACCGGTTTCCTGCGGTAAATCTCCGATTACTTCAGTCACTAAACGCGACATGTCGAAAGACGTAAAGAAACAACTACCTGTACTGAGCGTACTGTGCTCCAATATCCCAGAATCAAATTCGACATCGATAAGAGGCAGGCAATTGGATGACCTCAACCAATGGGATACTATTAGCAACCTAATCGGTGTCGAACTTAAACCTGTACACGTAATGCGTATTACACGACACCCCAACTCCAAACATTTCGGAGAGCCGAGACTTCTGCGTGTTGTGCTGAACTCCATCACTGAAGTAGAATCAGTACTACTGTCGGCAGGTAGTCTCAGAAATGAACACTGCTCCATGCGTATCTTTCCAGACAACCCATGGGGCGAGCGTCATCGAGTTAACCGCACCTTAGAGGACTACCGGAAGGAAACTTCATCCAGAACCATACTTCTTCACGGGGTTCCTGAAACCGAAGCATGTGATCAGCATGAAATAACAACCCATGATAAAGAACAGTGGTGTTATATTCGTGAAACACTCCGCTTGGATGATGTGATAGCGAAATCCGTGTCACGACTGCGTACCTCACCGAACTACAAAGGAATTGGCCCGAGAGTGTTGAAGGTGGTCCTTCAGTCAAAACATATGGTAGCACGGATGTTAAAAAGCTGGTACATGTTCCGTTGCAAGCTACCATCTGAGGTTCGGCTGAAGACAATCAGCGATATGCCTCCTAGAGAAGATATGTCACTCAAAGAACCAAACGCGATGGGATCTATGAGAGAACAGTGCACCAGTAGTGTGCCGAATGAGCCCATACAACCTGTAGAAGATGACATTGATCAGACACCTTACACTGTACGTCGCAGATCAGATACGGGACTAACTATACGGACGATGAATAAAATGTTAAACCCTTCACCAAGCACACATCGAAAAAACGATTAGTCGCCGGCCACTCACTGGTCGGCGAAACTTCACATATGAGTTGCAGAACCTCCGAAACATTGCTTAAATCTGAGAAACTTTCATGTATGTACACTAACGCCCAAGGGCTCCTCAGTAAAATTACTGAACTTCGACTACGTCAGGTTGCGAATGCTTGGGACCTAATTTCTATTACCGAAACTTGGTTACACCAAGAGGTGATTGATGCTGAGGTTGAGATAGCCGGAATGTCCCTCATCCGGAACGACCGCCCCAGCAGAGGAGGTGGGGTCCTACTCTACTACCGCAGCGATCTACAATGTACAACCGTTGATGATCTGGAAACACACGTTACTGACTCACTCTGGTGCCGTCTCCGATTGAGACACAACGACACGTGTTTAGTAGCTGTCGTTTACCGCCCCCCAACGTCCACTTCGGAAATGGATTCTTGCTTGATCCATGGCCTAAACAGAGTAACACGCACTAGGTACAGTCACATTCTCATCTCCGGGGACTTCAATCTACACAATCTGGAGGCTTCGGCATCGCCCAGTGAGCAGTTCAAAGCAGACTTGCATGAACTGATCGCTAATATTCCTTTGTACAATCATGTCACCACACCCACTAGATTCAGGACAGCAAACAAACCGTCCATACTAGACCTTGTGCTCACGAATGAAGAGCTCATGGTTGACAAGTTATTGATGGATAGTCCATTAGGTCTCAGTGACCATGTAGTAATAACTTTTGACTATGTGTGTTATGCAGAGTATCCATCTGAACACTCGGAACTAACTCATACAATCACACGCTACCACGTATTGAAAGAACTCGCCGACGCAGCTGCTTGGGAATTCTCAAACAAAAGTCCCCTTGACAACGTTTGGGCAGAGTTCGTTAATAGACTCAGCGACATCGTCAACAGAGCATCGGAGACCAAACCCCTTCGGCCCGCTAAAATGCCTTCAATTCTAAGGAGTAGGACTCGCAAATGCCTGGCGATAAGGGATGCAGTATGGCGTGCCTACAAGATTAACCCTGACTCAGAGACATGGGGAAATTTCCTGACCCATCGCAACCATTGCACTGCACTTGTCCGTGAGGACAAACTAACTTATCAACAGAGCCTAGCCAAAAAATTCATGGCAAACAACAAACTGCTATATAGGCATGTCAATAAGCTTCGTAAAGTGAAGCATGGAATCCCCCCACTTTTCACGACAGGCGGTAGAGTACAAAGCGCCGAAGAAGCAGCTAATGCCCTGCGGCTGCAATACGCCCCAATCTTCGAACTCGCAACTTCTACCTGTCCCATATTATCAAGCACATTACCGACACCTTTGTTTACAAATGTAATTTTCAACCCATCAATTGTGCTGAGGAAGTTACTCTCACTGCGTGAGCATAGTTCTCCAGGAGCAGACAACATCCGCCCGAAGGCACTGAAGGCTATGGCCACCAAGCTAGCTGAACCACTGTCACAGTTCTTCCAAAGGTGCTTTGATGAACAGCAAGTCCCCACTATGTGGAAGTGTGGCATTATAACCCCTATTTTTAAAGGCGGTAGCCGTTCCGATCCTGCAAACTATCGTCCAGTGACTCTCCTCCCTGTGCTCGCGAAGGTGATGGAAGCAGTCGTCGCTGAGGCTTTAATGGACTACCTGGAAAAATGCAACATCTTGGTACCGGAACAGCATGGCTTCCGTCAACACCGGTCATGCACCACCAACCTACTTATTGCTCGAGGTAGTTGGACGGAAGTGGCCGATGATGGGGTCGGAGTCGATGTCATCTATCTGGACTTCTCCAAAGCTTTCGACCGCCTTGATCACCGCATCCTACTTCAAAGACTACAAAGTTACGGAATCGGAGATCCTGTACTTGGTTGGATTGGCAACTTCCTTTACCAACGAAAGCTTCAAGTACGTGTTAGGGGATCACTTTCTAACCCAATTGAGGTGCAATGTGGTGTCCCACAAGGCTCAGTGCTGGGACCGCGTTTATTCCTGGTGTTTATCAACGACCTGGCAAGGGTCATCTCCTCAAATTTCCTGCTTTTCGCCGATGATGTCAAGATATGGCGGGCGATTGGTAACAAGCCAGATCAGGATCTGCTCCAACATGACCTAGATTGCATTTATGAATGGTCAAAGAGGAACAAGCTTCAATTGAACATAGCTAAGTGCAAAGTGATGCATCTGCGTCACCAGCCGGTGAGCGCTTACAAGATTGGAGACCACACCTTGGAGAAGGTTTCTCAGGAGCGTGACCTTGGTGTATTGGTGCAGGAAGATCTCGGGTGTTCAAAACAAGCAGAGAAGGTGACGAAAACCGGAAATCAACACCTCGGCCTTCTTCGCAGAGCCTTCGGTCGGTTTGAACCCTCAATCTTTCCCCAAATGCTTAACGCTTACGTGCGACCGCACGTGGAATATGCTATTCAGGTGTGGCAGCCGTGGCAGAAACAGGATCTCGTTGCTCTCGAGACTCCTCAACGAAGGGCAACCAAGAATGTCAGGGGCCTCTTTCATTTGCCCTATCAGCTTAGATTGAAATCTCTAAGAATCTACAGCAGTCGATATCGGCTTTTGCGGGGGGATCTCATAATGGTTTACCAGATCCTGAAGAACCCAAACCACATTTGTCGTCCGCTGCTGGAATTGAACCACAACACTAAACTAAGAGGTCACCCTCTGAAACTGACAATTCAGTATAGCCGGCTTGAATGCCGTAGAAATTTCTTTTCTCTCCGCGTGTGCCAGCCGTGGAACGCCCTCCCTAATTATGTCGTCTCTGCTCCCAATCTGGCAATATTTAAAAAACGTGTTGACGATGCATTGTCTCACTTGCATTTCATTTTATGACTTGTTAGCCAGGGGCTACAAAACGCAATCAAACGGTGTCTTGCCAAAGGCCTAACCAATGGATTTACGGATTTATATGTTTAATACGCGAACATATCCGCTATTCTACATAAGTTTATGGTGAGTCCACCACAACGCTGTTCACTTTATCATGCAATTGATTTTCACACTAATTTCCATCCTACGGGACTTGTTAAGCAACGCTTTTTTACCCGTAATAAACCATTGTTCCATTGTTCCATTGTTATTCCGAGCTGTTTCAACACCTGCGTCAGTCTTGAAGTCAGATACGTGTGTCGCCCTGCTGCACGCATAAGATGTAGATGTCAGTTGGTCAAATCCGATGGTGAATGATAAGCATGCTCGTGGACTGCTGCACATTGTAGGCACTATTCGACGGGCGAGGGCAGCAATGATAAATGGAGGAGATCCGTCTGCAGCTGCCTTATACAGCTACTGATAGGACTGTGAGAATTCTTTACAAGAAAGGAACCTCGGAAGCAATCCGAGGTGTGCTGAACAAGCAGCGCTTAAAAGTGATATTCTGGCGTGGGCAAACATTACCTTCAACGTTGGTGAGCTTGAAGGACCGCTATCCCTGAAGTAGGACGACTAAGTTTGTGTACAAATTCAACTACAAAGACTGTGCACATGTATAATACATTGGACAAACAGCGTGAGAGCAACGGACAAGTATATTAGAAGACAAAAAGTGCATTCGCGGCCGATAAAAGAGGAGCCTTAATACAGCGCTAAGTGTCTGCCGCAGCAATGCATGCACTAGACACCAGTCATGGGATCGATTTAGGTCATGTCGAGAGATATGCCAGCGAAGACCATGGGTTAAACATAGCGGAGATTGAAACCGCCAAAGCATATAACTGTGGGATTTGAATAGAGAGAATGGAACTGTCAAATGTGTGGCGATCAATCATAACCCGACCAACTGAGGAGCGTCGATAAGTTGTACTGGATGGAGAGCAGAAAACGACGTCATTTTCAAGGCACTATGACCGTATAAATACTATCATTGGGAATGGGGTGGGCGGTGAAACACTTGGAATAGTCCCACTCTGACTAGACCAATTGAGATGACTTCTCCACTTATGTCTGTAATAGTCCCTAAACTCACATCACAAAATGCCACAAATTCATCTGGCCTGACGAAAAAAATTAGCACCAGAAATGAGAACCAGTTGAGAACCTTCAATGTTCACTATATAAGTGGGATGACCAATCGACTAATTTAAACGGCGACCACAATTAGCAACTGGCTTGAGTTGTTCATCATTTCAGTATATCATTTCTTATAAAAGCCAAGGCAAATTTATGCTATTTCACCTGACCTGTAAAGCTGTTGTGTTAACATAGAAACTTGGCAATGTAAATCTACATTTATTAGAGGGTCATTATGAAGTACTCGTTGAGTGAATGGATTGCCACGCGCAATGTCAGTGCGGACCGCGATTCACATAGAAGTGAAGCTTGGTCAAATCGATCGCTGGGACCGGAACTGACGAAGCAGGTAGCCATTGGGTGCTCCTCGTCCGATTTTTCGTGAAGCTGTCTGAAACCATGGACGTAAACGTTGTTCGATGGTATCCGCAACTGCGTGACCCATTATGCCACACTGCGTGACACTATCCAAGTGCCTTTAGACCAGTCAATATTCAGGAGTCAGAATATCTAGGCTTCACAATATTCTACGAAGTTTAGGGAGAGGTATATAGTCGTTTTCCACTTAATCTTATCTATAGGGGGACAGCAAGTTTAGGGTTATAAGCTTACAACTAGATCGACGTAGATTAAGAAGGAGATATTTCTTCTCCGACGGTGGGAGGGCACCGCCCAGTGCTCAGTGGTTTGTTACCGGCGGGCTCAATCCAACAACCATACGAACAAATTGACTCTAATCTGTTAACTCCTATCTGCAGCCGGCCGTTGTCGGAGGTGCGTAATATATTACGGTAATAAAACACATAAAACATACTAAATCTTCAAAGACTGTGTGTAACAGACTTAAAACAGATCCCTCTTGGTCTTTGAAATCACACTACTAAAGTGGGCTTGCTGCCCACTGCGTTGTTGCTTGACATTTCAAACAATATGTTTAAGGCGCAGTACCTCAAGCGAGCCTCTATGTGTCCCACCGTCTGGTGCGTTAGACTGTTGTAAGAAAGGCTAGATATAAGGCACTTCGAACAAAACCCCACTCTCGGGATGGACAGCCGGAACCTCATCCGCCGTATTCACACCTTGGAAAATAATCCCCTCTTCTTCCTATATTCATCCGTCCTAAATTTTCTTCTTCAGCACCTGTTATGCAAAGGACAGCCGCTAACCTTGCGACTTTAACCAGCGACACATTTGGCCTGTCCATCAAAATTAAAGTCTTATTTCACATTGGTTCTTTTAAAATCCGTAATTTTGGTAAGATAGACTAACAGGTAACACAAGGTATCACTATTCGCCCTCATGTTATTTAACTGCGCTGTGCTTCCGAAACTCGTATACAAGATTGCGGAGTTCAGACGAATCCTTGCATCCTTAGTTCAGAATCCGACGACAGTGACTACCCTCATTGCGTCTCAGGCGATACCGAGTCAGTGGCTCAAGGTGTTTCGCTGTTCGTATCGTCCTCAGAAAACATACTAAAGACAATCTATCTTACCAGATGCCATTGAACAAATGCATGGTTGCGTGTAGACCTCAAACCACTGTTGGGATTAATAAGCGACTCATAATAATAAGGCGCATTTTCAACGTTAACATTTGCATCTTTAATGAATACAGCCCGGTGGATATCACAGACGATATCCATGGTAATCATTCACATTGTCTTCACATGGTGATAAATACTAACATCGCGATTGTTGTTGGTGACATTAATGCACACTGGGTCGTTTTCTGTAACTCTGAAAACCTTGGAGGCTATTCAGGGTCGATGAAGGTAGGACAGAAATTGGCGATCGATACTTGCAAATGTGCGCTGACCACAATTTTTATTTTAGCACCAATGCTTTCCGGCACGAACATCTCCATGGTGTCAACTGGCGCCAACCGAATTCCTCAATGACCTGGACCATAACTGACCATCTTGCCATCAGCTATAGTTGACGCACATCCGTCCAACTCTATCGGTCATTTTTGAGCACTTGCCCAAATTCTGATCATCATCTAGTGTGCGCACGTCGGAGGTTAACTGCTCCCGCTTAAAAGAAACGCTTAACTCCAGAGCCACACCCTAATAACGTGAATTCGCAATGCGAATTTTAACGATATCAAGACTAGTAAAACCACAGTTGTCAGTGATGAATGTGGTTGATCAGCTAAACGCTAACTGGAATCTTTGCAAGTGTTTCGCAAGGAATGCTTTCGACGCTTTATGTTCGCCAAAAATGAGACGTCTCAACTATGCATGGATCTATGAGGCATTGATCAATTTCTTGTAGTCACAAACAGATTCCTTTGGGTACTACATTTAGGCGTATACGTAACGCTCTGAAACGAGGACTGTCAAGGAGTTTTCGAATCGACTGGAAACGTTGTTTTGTGGTAATAGCCTATAGTATGGAAAAAGACACTGTCAGATGACGGACGGACAAACCTTGAGTTTTCCTCTTTCCTAGATTCTGAAGCAGTGACTAAGCAAAGATTACTGCATAGACTGGTACATAGCGATGCGCGCTTCGGCATGTGTCTTGTACCTTCAACGAGCAAAGTACTGTGGCATGACTGGACGGACGCGTCCCCGGTTTCAGCTATTACCGAACAGCTACTGGAAGTGGCGGATCGATTCACTTACCGTGGTAGCTATATTATCCCTGGTGGTCACATCACTGATGAGGTTACTTGGCATTTCAGCAAGGTTCGTGTTGCTTCTCAGAGGGTGAACCATTTATGGAGACGGATGGATATTAGTCTGTCAATAAAAGTTATTGTGTACAAAGTTGTGATAAGGCCGGTGTTACGGTAAGAATCAGAGACCTGGTCAATTCATATACAGCATACTAAAAGGTTGGCCGTGTTTAATCACGCATGCTTGTAAATTAGTGCTAATACTGATGAGAAAACCAGGGGAGCAATGCTGAGGTCCGCTAGTTGGATTTTGGTAAGAAGTTCCCTGTTGTCCCACTCGAGTGTTTGTGTAAGCTTCCTCGTTTACCTCGGCCAGATTATGTCCTCTGTGTACATGTCAGTCGGCATCCTTGGTCTGTATTACATACCCTCGCTGCAAAAAGTGGGGATAGACTGCGAGGTGGTCAGCCCATTACATTGCGTGAAGCCATGAAGAAACTGACTAAGAGATTTGGTCAAGCCCAGCATGCTGTTTTTGCGGATGGGGGCCCTTGGATTTCCGAATTCAGCGGTTGGACACTCTATCATAAATGGTGCAGTCGCGCAGTCAGCGGTGTTCCTGCATTCTGTTTTTTGTTACTATACGTTACTCTTTCTTGCATGCAGATTAGTTTAACGCCCATCGCCGTCAATTCTCTTTTTCACTCTGTTTGCCTTAAAACTCCTTTCATTACCGTTGTTCTTGTCGCTCCAGTTACATGAGTCGCGGCAAATGGATCTACTAAACCTGGGTGTCTGGGCCATAGTTATTTAAGTTAACTAAGCCGAACAACAAGAATAAATATGTCCGCCGCGATGGTGGGTAGTTACTCCGCAAAATAGCAGAACGCTAAACTACGTTACTAAACATTCGTTGCCAAGCAACATAGTGTGGTTTGTACTTAGGCTGAATATAGTCCAATCCAATTATTTAGATACTTCGGTGACTATTCCACTCTGCAGTTGATCAATCCACCTCACCCATCATTGATAGATGACATTTTGACCTCAAAGTCGCTGCATTCCGTGGTATGAATCCAGTTGGTGAGTGGGAGACCTAAAGCATTGGCGCTCCATTGAGGTAGGCATAGTGGGTAGCACGAGTGCGCACACTTCAGCTCTATCCGCAACCCAGTCGTCAAATCATGCAGTAAGTGCTCTAT